CTCCCTGCCCTGTTGTTGGCCCTCCAGAGGAACTGGTCAACCACTGTGTGAGGCAGGATGCTGGACTAGATGGACCTCCACTGGTCTGATCCAGCAGGGCTCTTCTGAGGTTCTTCCCAGGGGAAGGCCTCAGCCTCTCTGCCCTGTTGTTGGCCCTCCAGAGGAACTGGTCAACCACTGTGTGAGGCAGGATGCTGGACTAGATGGACCTCCACTGGTCTGATCCAGCAGGGCTCTTCTGAGGTTCTTCCCAGGGGAAGGCCTCAGCCTCTCTGCCCTGTTGTTGGCCCTCCAGAGGAACTGGTCAACCACTGTGTGAGGCAGGATGCTGGACTAGATGGACCTCCACTGGTCTGATCCAGCAGGGCTCTTCTGAGGTTCTTCCCAGGGGAAGGCCTCAGCCTCTCTGCCCTGTTGTTGGCCCTCCAGAGGAACTGGTCAACCACTGTGTGAGGCAGGATGCTGGACTAGATGGACCTCCACTGGTCTGATCCAGCAGGGCTCTTCTGAGGTTCTTCCCAGGGGAAGGCCTCAGCCTCTCTGCCCTGTTGTTGGCCCTCCAGAGGAACTGGCTGGCCCCTGTGTGAGGCAGGATGCTGGACTAGATGGACCTTCACTGGTCTGATCCAGCAGGGCTCTTCTGAGGTTCTTCCCAGGGGAAGGCCTCGGACTCTCTGCCCTGTTGTTGGTTCTCCAGAGGAACTGACTGGCCACCGTGTGAGACAGGATGCTGGACTAGATGGACCCTCACGTTCTTGTTCTTATGATATGAAAGACCTCTGCCTGAGACTGGATAACGGCAGGCAATCTCCTACCAATAGTTCTCTTTATTTGGTAATAAAAAGACGCTCTATACTTTTGCCTCCGTGACCAGCAGTTAAACAGCCGGTTAAAGCGGATGATTCTGACCTTTAGCGGACCGATGATCTGATTCCGTTTATTGACGGATCGATTGTATTTGTTAACCACCCTCCCGGTAGGACTGGACTCATAGTCAGATAAAAAGTATTGCATAAAACAATTTAACAATCAGGCTCTAAAACGGTAAAACGTCCAGATCAATCAAATCATCTAATTAGCTATAGACAGCGCTAAAATCCTAACGGTGCCACTGTCACATGGGGGAAGGGGCTGGGGGGGGGGAAGGGAGTGCCAATTATTTGTGAAGTACAAAATACATAAGATATATATATACAGGTATTCAACAGTTTGGTGTAGGGGTTAAGTGCACCGACTCTAATCTGGGAGAACCGTGTTTGATTCCTCACTCCTCCACTTGCAGCTGCTGGATGACCTTGGGCAAGCCATAGTTCTGATAAGAACTGTTCTTGAAAAAGAGCAGTTTCTCTCAGAGCTCTCTGAGCCCCAACTACCTCACAGGGTGTCTTTTGTGGGGAGGGGAAGGGAAAGGAGTTTTTCAGACACCTTTGGGTAGTGAAGGGCGGGGTATAAATCCAATCTCCTCCTCTTTTTCTTCTTATTGGTTGTTGTATAGGTTGTTAAAAATAACCTCCGGAATGTTCAACCGTTTCGAAAGATACCTTCTTCTGAACAGATAAAGGAAAATGAAGAATGGGTGACGTCTCTGGTTAGTTTTTCAACTGGTGCATTTCAAAAAATGCATAATTTTGTTTGATATGTCAAAACATAATTGAGAGGAAGTTCCTACTGATTCTACATAGGGCATTTTACAGCATTTTGCCCTATGTAGAATCAGTAGGAACTTCCTCTCAATTATGTTTTGACATATCAAAGAAAATTATGCATTTTTTGAAATGCACCAGTTGAAAAACTGACCAGAGACGCCACCCGTTCTTCATTTTCCTTCATCTGTTCAGAAGGTATCTTTCGAAACGGTTGAACATTCCGGAGGTTATCATTAACAACCTATACAACAACCAATAACTGTTGAATACCTGTATGTACTTTGTACTCATGTATTTTGTACTTCACGAATAATTTTTGTATTCTGTTCATTTCAATATATAAAAATTAATTGAGCACAGTTAGGATACAGTTTTTCTTTATTGGGATCTTTTTCTGAAGCACTTTTTGACTGTTACCATCTGCCCTGTCATGGACAGCCGGATATACTCGGGCCTGGGACCACCAATGAATTCTAAGCTCCCGAGCATAACGCTCTTCTCGGGGTATACCAGGAGAGGCAAGTTTCGTGTGTCCCTGGTTTCGTATGTGCACGTGCAAATCACACAAGCCTTTCGTCTGCAGCATTTCCAGATCATTTACAAAGGCCACTACAATGCCCCAGCTACATTTATATCTCGCCTTTCCTCATGGTTCAAGGCAGCTTGCAATCATAGCCAAAATATATTTTCAGGTAAAACCAAAAATACGATCGCAGAGCCCAAACCTCTCCCCCCGCAAATCTCAATGCTCTGATTCACCGGTAAGTGCTCTATATTCCTTTCTTTTTGTGAGTATTTTATGTGTGCGTGTGTGCCTTGTGCACCGGGAAGTCATGGTGACTTCTGGTGACTTCATGGTAACTTCTGGTGCCTGGGAGGTTGGTGGGGCTGAGATTGCTCTGAGAGAAACTGCTCTTTTTCAAGAACAGCTCTGACAGAACTATGACTCGCCCAAGGTCATCCAGCAGGTGCGAGTGGAGGAGTGGGGAATGAAACCCGGTTCTCCCAGATTAGAGTCCGCGCACTTCACCACTACACCAAACTGGCAGCGGTGACTTGATATTCCCTGCCTCTGTGTCCCTGCCCTGGTATTCCTTGGGAGGTCTCCCTTCCAAGTATTTGCCAGGGGTAGCCCTGCTTCGCTTCCGAGGTCTGATGTGATCGGGCTTGCTTGGGCTTTCTGGGTCAGGGCTATATTCCTGTCACTCAGCAAGGCCTAATAGATGCATATATATTTAAACATTTGTAATGGGTAACCACCTGCCCTTTCAGAAAATGCACGCAAGCGTTTTGGTGGGCTCAGTGGAAGAGCTGACGGAACGGGAACATGTTGGTAGCTTCAACCAGAGGCTAGAATTGGAAGGATTTTTACTTTTCAGAAATAACAGGTGAAGAAGAAGAAGAGATTGGATTTATACCCTGCCCTTCACTACTCAAAGGTATCTCAGAGAGGCTTACAAACTCCTTTCCCTTCCCCCTCCCCTCAACAGACACCTTGTGAGGTAGGTGGGGCTGAGAAAGCTCTGACAGAAACTGCTCTTTTTCAAGAACAGCTCTTATCAGAACTATGGCTTGCCCAAGGTCTCCCAGCAGCTGTGAGCGGAGGAGTGGGGAATCAAACCCGGTTCTCCCAGATTAGAGTCCACACACTTAATCACTACACCAAACTGGCTCTTTTTCAAGAACAGCTTTTATCAGAACTACGGCTTGCCCAAGGTCATCCAGCCAGGTGCAAGTGCAGGAGTGGGGAATCGAACCCGGTTCTTCCAGATTAGAGTCTGCACACTTAATCACTACACCAAACTAGCTCTCAAAATGCCACACGTTTCAGAAACGTTCTGCGGTTACACTTTAATGGAAGCTGCCAACTAAACTGCGGTGCTAGCTGACCGAAGGACTGACACATTAACAGAGGCTGTAGATGTTTATCGGTGGGGTGTGTGTGTGCAAAGTTGGCCGGCTAGAGAAAAGACATAGATTTGAAAGCTGCAGGAGAGAGACTTAAACAGCACCCCTTGTGAGTGTCATATAGGGTGGGTTGCACGTTGCCAGTGTGTTCTGAGACTTGCATGTTTCCGTTGTGTTCCAGGATGGCCGAAGACCACAGTGCCAATGACACAACTCAAATCCTGCAACTAATTTGTGGGGCAATGTAAGATGAAGATCTGGAAATGAGATGCTGCAGCAGAGAATCAAATTCTTGCTGCACACACGGGTGCTAACTAAGCACGCTTAACACAAACTTTCCTGTGGAAGCAGTGGGCCTTGAACAATGGGACTGGTGGGAGACTTCCTCCTCTCACTAGCTATGAAGTGGGTAGGTGAAATGCCATCCAGGAGGGACTCATTGGATTTGAGGAAATCGCTGCTACCCTGCCTGGTTCTTATTCCAACCTGGTCTCGCCCTGGGTATGAATCGAGATTAGGGCCAGGAGATTTTTGTCGGTTTGTCATCATGTATCTGATGCCAACGTCAAGTTGTTTTGGTCCACAGGCCTTTGTGTAGGTCTGTGTGTGAGGATCACAACTTGCTGCGTGGGGGGGGGGGCGCGTTTTGACCTGGAGGAGGCCAGCCTTCAAAACGGGGGTTATTTTGCATTCTAGTTGATGTCTTTTCCCTGTAATGCTGATCAACCATATTTTAGCAGTTACCTTTTAGCTGGAGATGAAAGGGATAAATGGGGCTGTGTGTGTAGTCTCTCACGTAGCTTGCTCATTAAAAAGTCGCACTCCAACCCCAAGTTGTTTAATGATCAATTCTTGCAAATGGCCAGAAATGACCAAGTAAGAGGTTGTCTTTTTTTTTTCTGTCTGCGGCCGTCTCTCCGAGCTTGCACCAGGCCACAGCGAACGGCCATGGAAGGCAATTCCAGCTCAGGAGCATTCCCTCCTTCGCCCCGGTTTACCGTGGCCGACGTGACCGTCGTGGTGGCATACTTCGTTTTAAACTTGGCAGTGGGCATCTGGGTAAGACGGTTGAGCCTGCAACTTTTAATTGATAGCCGGAACTTTGAACTGGCCCTTTCTTACACGCCCAGAGAACTGCCGATCGCCACTTTGGGTTCGGGAAGCAATTGCTCTCCTGGCCTGTTTGGCCGGGGATCCTGGAGGTTTTGGGGTGTTTTTTTGCCCTCTTCTGGGCATGGGGCAGGGATCATTGCGGGCGTGGGGGGGAGGTATTTGTGAATTCCCTGCCTTGTGCAGGGGGTTGGACTAGATGACCCCGGAGGTCCCTTCCGACTCTGTGATTCTACGAACCAACCGAAGCTTTTTGGTCATTCGGTAAGAAGCAATCCGGGTGGCTGAGAGCTGAGGCAGAGTTTTGTGTTTGGATTCGGGACGTGTCACTGTTAACAGGAGGTAACAAATCGGGCTTTGGCTTATTGATGTAGAGAATTTATAAGTTCTGACCCGGATGGCGCCGGGCGAGCCCGATCTCATCAGATCTCAGAAGATAAGCAGGGTCAGCCCTGGTCAGTATTTGGAGGGGAGACCACCCAGGAAGTCCACGGTTGCTACGCAGAAGCCGGCCACCTCTGAACGTCTCTGGCCTTGAAAACCCCACAGGGTTGCCACAACTCTACTGCGATTTGATGGTTTCAGAAAGAGAGAATTTATATCCCACTCTTCTGCTCTGTTGGGGCCACTGAGGCATCTTTGCTGTCTTTCCAGTGGTGGCTCTTGGCCTTCTGAAAATGTAGTTCTCCAAGTGATCGCCTGCCTTTTAAAGAAGAAGAGGAGATTGGGTTTATACCCCATGGCCCTTCACTACCCGAAGGAGTCTCGGAGCGGCTCACAAACTCCTTTCCCTTCCCCTCCCCACAACAGGCACCCTGTGAGGTAGGTAAAAGAAGAAGAAGAGATTGGGTTTATACCCCCGCCCTTCACTACCCAAAGGAGTCTCAGAGCGGCTTACAAACTCCTTTCCCTTCCCCTCCCCACAACAGGCACCCTGTGAGGTAGGTAAAAGAAGAAGAAGAGATTGGGTTTATACTCCATGGCCCTTCACTACCCGAAGGAGTCTCGGAGCGGCTTACAAACGCCTTTCCCCTCCCTACAACAGGTTCCCTGTGAGGTAAAAGAAGAAGAAAAGATTGGATTTATCCCCCGCCCTTCACTACCCAAAGGAGTCTCAGAGCGGCTTACAAACTCCTTTCCCCTCCCCTCCCCCCAACAGGTACCCTGTGAGGTAAAAGAAGAAGAAGAGATTGGGTTTATACTCCATGGCCCTTCACTACCCGAAGGAGTCTCGGAGCGGCTTACAAACGCCTTTCCCCTCCCTACAACAGGTTCCCTGTGAGGTAAAAGAAGAAGAAGAGATTGGGTTTATACTCCATGGCCCTTCACTACCCGAAGGAGTCTCGGAGCGGCTTACAAACGCCTTTCCCCTCCCTACAACAGGTTCCCTGTGAGGTAAAAGAAGAAGAAAAGATTGGATTTATCCCCCGCCCTTCACTACCCAAAGGAGTCTCAGAGCGGCTTACAAACTCCTTTCCCCTCCCCTCCCCACAACAGACACCCAGTGAGGTCGCCAGGGCTGAGAGAGCTCTGACAGAACTCTGGCTTGCCCAAGGTTATCCAGCCAGGTACAAGTGGAGGAGTGGGGAATCAAACCCGGTTCTCCCAGATTAGAGCCTGCGCACTTCACCACTACACCAAACTCTCAGAAGCGCTTCTAAGGGGTTGCAAAACCCTCTTTAAATCACCTGGTGCTGCCCGTTTGCTCCGAAGTAACTCAGTAAGAGCTGCCTTCTTCTCTTAAGGGGGATACTCTGCCGGAGACATCGTCTCCCCATCAAACCCTGGTTGATGACCTTCGGAAATAAACTTTGCGAGTTAACTACACTCTGGAATTTCCTTAACTGAAGTCAGTGGGGCTAGAAAGGTGGACCTCCGTTTAGAACAGCAGTTCCTTTGCTTGCTTCTGGGTATAAGCTTTCGTCTGCATGCCCGCCTCTTGTATCTAAGGAAGTGTGCGTGGACACGAAAGCTTAAACCGGGAATTAAACTTTGTTGGTCTAAAAGGTGCCACTGGACTCAAACTCTGTTCAGTAGCTTCAGAAAAATACAGCTACCCACCTGAATCAGTTGCTTACTTCTGTGCAAGAAAAGAAAATTAGATCGATGTGCAATACAAACACAGTGTGTCTGGCCCTTTCCTCTCACTGTCCCAGGGGTCATTCCATAGAAAAAGAGGTGGAGGAGCTCATTAGCATAGCTCATTAGCATGACTTATTTGCATATGCCACACCCCCTGACATCACCGGAAGTGTGTCAGAAGGCAACACCCACCGCTCAGGCTCCACTGGACTGTTTTGGATTGCTAGCTATTGGGGGGGGGGGGAACGTGCAGATCTGTCCTCACAGAGGAGGGAGAGCGTGTACCTGAATAAAACTTGGTCTTAAAGGTGCCACTGGACTGTTTTGGATTGCTAACTATGGGGGGGGGGGCCCACGCAGATCTGCCTTCACAGAGGAGGGAGAGCTTGTACCTGAAGGCAGGCCGGGGGGGGGGCTCTGCAATTTACCTGGCTGCTTTTTGCTCCTCATGGCCCAATTGAGGGCTGCTGGGAGCAGGGGGCGGGGCTTATTGCATGTGCCCACCCCCTGGACTCCTTACTGCCGGAGCGCCGCTCCTGTGCACTCCTCCAGGAAATGACCCCTAGGCACGCCAATGTCTTCACGGGTAGATGGTGTGCCTCCCAAACCAACACACTGTCTTGGGAGGGGGGGGGTTATCTGTCAAGTTGCAACAGACAGCAATCCCATAGGGTTTTGAAGGCAAGAAAGGAACGATGGTGGTTTGCCATTGCCTGCCTCTGCGTAGCAACCCTGGTATTCCTCAGCGGCCTCCCATGCAAATACTAACCAGCTCTGAACCCGCCTAGCTTCCGAGATTTGATGAGACTGAGCTGTTTAGATCAGGGCAAAGTATTGCCTGCCCTTGACTGAGGGAGAAGGGTCATTCAATTTTGTGCAAAGCGGTGTGAAAGCGCCCTCAAACGGTCTATACCTACAGTTTAATCAATATTCTTCAGATATCTGAAGAAGTGAGCAGTGACTCACGAAAGAAGAAGAAGAAGAAGAAGAAGAAGAAGAAGAAGAAGAAGAAGAAGAAGAAGAAGAAGAAGAAGAGGAGGAGGAGGAGTTTGGATTTATACCCCGCCCTTCATTACTCGCAGGAGCCTCAG